CTCCCTGGTGCTGAAGTCAGCTTGTTTGGTTTCTCTCCTCACTCGTCTTTTCTGCTCCTCTCTGGTTGGGGTTTTTTAATTGTTAACGAAGCTCAAGGTGTTTGACATTTGCATTATCTTCCCTCGGTAAGAGGTTTCTCTCCAGGGAATCGGGGAATTGGTAGGCCATACCCCATCAGAAGCCACTTAGCACCACAGTGAGCCAAACGCTCTCCCTGGCGGATGCAGGGCGGCTCCAGACCCAGGGTCTCCAGACGATGAAACATGGCTGAGGCATCTGGACGGAAGATGGTTTTTTCTGGAAGGTGTCCTTGGGTGGGGATGGGCGGGGGGCAGGAATCTGCTTCCTTGGAAGGATGGGCAGTTATTTGAAGGCTGAAAGTATGGATCAGAATCAAGATCTTATGACAGACCAGGAGAGCAGACGAGAGGGAGAAAGAGGTCCTCAATCTCGTGACCTCGCAGTCAGAAGATGCCCCTCATTCTGGCACGATGTTTGCATGTCAAACACGGTGACAAAGAGAAAGGCAGGAGAAAATACCCTTTCAAAAAAGTTTCACCTGAAAAGTAAAATAAAATTTTTCACCTGAAAATTCCACTCAGTGGCTTTTGCTTGCATCTCTTTGGCAAGGATCAGAGTACATAAAAATGCAACATGCCAGCAAGTCTGGGAAGACGAAGATGTGAGGGTAAGTACAAGAGTGCTGCTAAGAATCACAGAAACCTTCTTTCAAAGATCGGAGTGTGAAGCTCTTGTTTCTCAAGGTGTGTTCCACCTAAGGTCTGTCCACTTCTAAAGGCGGGTTTCCAGCTTTCTGTCGCCCAAAAGAGTCTGTGCTTTTTTATTGGATTGGTCAAAATGACAGTTTTGGCATCCTGTGGAACTCACTTGTGTTCCCTCTCTATGTGCTTTAACTTTAGAAACAAAAGGTAGTCTGAAGGGGCAAGGTCAGGGCTGTAGGGTAGGTGGGGTCCGAGTCCCCGGTGACTTTTTCCTAGGACAACCCTTGCTACCTTTGACCAACAAGAATAACACAATAAACCAGAGAAATGACCTCAATTGAGAAGGAAGCAGAAAACGTTAATGACTTGAACACATTTTTAAAGGAAAAATAAAATAAAAATTAAAGAAAGGCCAAATGGTCGGGCATTACATTTTACATCTGCCATAATCAACTTTCCAACACTCTCTGTCTCCTAGCAATGTTACTCACATCCCTCGACTGTACTCAGAGGGGATTGACCAGAGGCTGTTTCACGTGGGGACCCTGCAAATGGAGTTGGGGCTCCTACTGTCATCCATAGCTTTCTACAAGCCAGGTGTTCACAATGCTAGTTCTGATATTCTTCCCTTCTTCAGGATTTTGTTATTTATCATCCTTGGATCACGCGGGCTCATGTGCTTCTACTATGTGGCCTTAGTTGACACCTCACTTGGATGGCTACTTGTTTGAAGACAAGCCTTTAACACCCCAGATGCTGCTCTTGACGGTCAGGCACCATCTGCTTTCTTCACCACACGTTGCTGTAGCACCCATATCTTCAGAGATCTCTTCCACGAGGTGAGCATCGAGCAGGGTCCAAGCACTATTTCTTGATTTTCGTTTGTCTGTTTTTAGTAGCCCTTATTTTTGTAAGCACCCTAATAGGACTAAGAGAAGTAGATCACTGAGAAAACTTGTCTGCGGGCATCCACTGATCACAGAGACATGTTTGAACACATTTTGTTTGTAATAAACCTGAGCATATATGAACTGAGACTCTAGCAGGAATTTTTTAATTTACTCTCATATTTAACTGGGTACATTATAACTCTGAATAAAATTGTAGTTTTTATTTTTTTAATTATTTTTATATAAATCATATTATTGGGGGCTCTTATAGTTCTTATAACAACCCAAACATTAATTGTATCAAGCACATTTGTACATGAGTTTTTATTTTTTTAAAGAGGTATGGAAATTAAGTAGGTTGCTGTCAATGCCCACCACAAATAATATCTTCATTTTTAAAATGAGAATACAAAGTCCTACGGCCTTCTCCACAAACATGAGGCAGGATAATGCT